AGGGCCTCTAGGAATTCCCCCAAAAAGAGGTAGAAGGCTAATAAGCCGATAGTTGGAAGGGTCGGATTGTTTTTAAAAACTGGTACAAAAGATGGTGATTTCCAGCAGGCAGGAAATCAGGGGATAACGAGGCATTTATTATACAGTTTAGAGAGAACAGGAGCCAGTTCGGGAGCAATTACGAGTATACCATCGGGTTCACGTGCTCTATGGTAATAATATTGCTGATTGTTCTTTGGATAGAAGAGGTTACATTCATGATTCAACAGAGACTCAGTTCCAAGAGGGAAGTTAGGCAGGGATACTCCTGATGAGTCAAGAGTAGAGTTTGAGGAGAATTTATGGGCAAAACATTCAGCTTTATCAGCAGAGAATGATAACACCTTAAATCGATTATTGTTAGTACAGCAGTAATTGATCTGGAGAAACGAAAGCCGTGTTGCTTGTCTGAGAAAAGGCCCTTTGATAACGAACCAATTCAGCAATGATTAGGTCGTCTAGGAGTTCCCCAAAAGAGGCAGAAGGCTAATAGGTGGATGGGATCAGACGGTTCATCAGAGTTATTAAAAACAGACGATGACTTCCAGCAGGCAGGAAAGCAGGGGCCCAGCGAGGCATTTATTGTATAGTTTAAACAGGAGCTAATTCGGAAGCACATTTCTTAATGACTATTACAAGCATATCATCGGCTCCACTAACAAGGTTAGAGATGATAGCAGAAACCATAGAAGGGGTTATATGCATATCACTCAACAGAGAATCAATTCTAAGTGGGAAGTCAGGCAGGGATACTCCAGATGAGTCAAGAGTAGAGTTTGAGGAGAATTTATGGGCGAAACATTCAAATTTATCATCAGAAAATGTTAACACCTCAAATTGATTTAAAAGGGGAAGAATAGATACCTTGCACTTATTTAAAACCCTATTACAGAGCTGCCAGTAATCAGGTTAACCAAAGTTGTTTGATGCTATGATGCTCAACCTTTCAACAAAAAGGGACTTAGCTCCTTCGAGGTCTAGTTTATATTTATTGCGAGCAGCAACGAATAGGCGCCTGTTGTGATGAGAGCTGTCACGCTGGTATAGCCGAAAATAATGGTTTCTGTGTGCTATAACGGCCGACCATGCTGGTGTGATCTCTGGAGATGATTGTGTTTCTCCTGCTACTTCCGAGAAGGGATGAAAGCGTTCATGCCGTCTTTGACTCAAGAAGAAACCTCAGTGGTGCAATTCTCAATTGGGACGTTAAAGATGTCAGTCCAAGCGACGTCACGAAGAAAATCGCGGAGTGCGTCCCAGTCAGCATGCTGGTAAGTGAAAGGTGTCTTATGAATAGGTGGTTCATGATTAATAGATGATTGAAACGAAATATCAATAGATACTATAGTGGTCTGAGTTACTGTTGAAACTTGACTAATGCATGGAATAATAATGCAACACAAAATGTACTTAGAACAAAATGTATTGAAACAAGAAAGTGTACACAATATTTACATATAGTCTTTTGTATATTCCTGGTAAGACCGTTCCTGGAGAATGTGTTGACTGAGTCGCAGTCGGGCAGAGTCTCTGGTTGAATCTCTTGATTCCTCCCTCTCTTCCCGGTACCAACCATATTTATATGGTCAGTACTCCACTATGCAAATTAGGTGGATCCTACCACAACAGTTACCAAGCTGGCAGTGTTGCGCAGCTCGGCAAGAGTGAGGAGGTAAGAAATAAATAAAGTAGAGAAGCCTGTTACTCGGTTTTGCTAGGAAAACGAGTAGGGAAGTCAATAATTTGAGTAACAGAGTGGGCAATGAAAAAGATTAATGACTGAATACGGGCATCATCAATACCTTTATAATGTTTAAGCCACGTGACGTGGTGAACTTTAAAGTCACCAAAGACAAAGATGTTCGGAGATGGATAGAGAGAAAGTGTTTTTTTTTATACTGTCAGCTATAATGTTTAATATACTGTAGTCCTGAGAAAAGGAGGGGGACGATAGAGGAAGAAGAGATAGCTAAGACATTTTAGTAACGAAAACCAGAAGCCCATAAAAGTGTCGTCTGGGACCTTGAGAGACAATTTCCTGACTATCGGAAGATTAACTGTTATGGTCCGGTTCCTTGTACCACGGTGATAGTCCAAGATAGAACCAATAAAGAACTTGAATACGGATATGGAATAACACAGATATATTACAAACATGAATATATACAGAGAAGTAGAAAGTGTTAGTACGAACAATCAGGTTTAGTAGTAATTGTCTGAACGCGACTCTGTTTCGGACTGCCTCTGACTCGACTGACTGACCGACTCGCTCTGACTGACAGACAGACTCCTGACGGACTTCACTCCAGACTTCAGACTGAACAGTATTTAGTCCCCCCCCCACAAGGGCATCATGTGGCACAAGGCCGGTTTAACGTGGGATCTCGGAGCCCGTGGGCTCGGCCAAAAATATGCCCTTTGAACCCGTATAAACGGGTTCAGGGTAGGGTTACCCCCCACTCCCCCGAAAGAGACTCCGCCCTTCGGCGCAGCCTCGTTCGGGTTCCTCCCCACCCGAGGGTAGAGAGAGTTCAACCGATCAGCCGGTCAGCCGGTCGCCCGACTTCGGACTGAATTTTCTGCTTCCTCTTGAGGCGCAGTATTTATTACGTATGGAATAGTCCATTATGTTATTATGGATAAGGTCCCATAACACTATCTGTCGTCAATTGAAATACAAAACAAACCAGTGCGTGGCTAAGATCAGAGCATAATGTGGCCTCAAGGTTGCCCACCAGAAATAAATACAGGGACACCTACCCATGCGTGACATGGCATTACAGATACCCCTATATTATGCGACTGTTGATCAGAACATCCTCTCTAAGCGTTACCAAAGAGTTCAAGCTTCTAACGACCAGTCGGAAGCAACAGTCAGCAAACTGCCAACCCTCATAATGGAAAGCCACAGCCACTTGTTAGTCTGATCAATAAAAAGTTAAGACAGTTAAAACACTGTGACTCAGGTAGAAGTAAAAAAAAAGAAGAAATAGGGAGAACCAGTAAACCTTAACCTGAACAGGGAACAGGGGATGAACCTCAATTCCTGTTCAATAGACATGGAAGGACAGCGGCCCGGAAATAAGTGAGCCTATCTACTCCTATTAAGTTGTAGAAAAATCACATAAAATAAAAAAGAATTCATATGAAGTAAAATAAAAAATGAGAGATGTTAAAACTTAATTCACTTTTGTCACGTCAAATTTTCAGCATCGATAAGTAACAGTAGGTAACCATATTCTAAATTAACCAAGTTTGGGTCGTCCTGGGTATGATGATAAACTACATCCGCGTCCTTCGTATGACGATAAACTACATCTGCGTCCTGGGTATGACAATAAACTATATCCGCGTCCTGGGTATGACGATAAACTACATCCAAGATCACTGATCAGGACGTTTTGAGGAGTATGGAATCACCTCTTAATTGCTGGTGTTTCCAGGTCTACCCTGACCCAAGGTGATAGCACATGTTAGGGTCTCAGCTATGGGCAAATAGTTGACCCCTAAACTGGAGTCAATACTTGTAAAAATAGGTTTTAATACCAGCAATACATTTTTGTAAAAAATTACCAGAAATCAATTTTTTAAGAAAAAACTATTACCTGCAATACATTTTTTTAAAAAAAATTGCCATCAATACAATTTTGAAGAAAAAAATATTATCAGTAATACATTTTTGAAGAAAAAATATTACAATATCTTGTCGGCATTAAATAACCCATTGAGGTCGATATGCCGTAAAACAAAACAAACCAAACCAAGTTTGGGGAGGAGATGAACTGAGAAGTTTAATAATTAATAGCAATGGAGAAAAGAAAATAAAGGAGAAAGAGGGAAGGAGAAAGAAATATTGAAAATTTACAAATAACAACATGGCACAAGGCATTATAAATTACTTACAAGAGAGACTTCAAATGCTTCTTTCCAATATTTAAATTGAACAATTTTACGGACAGGGCAGACTGACTAAATTTCTGTTGTGATTTTCTTAAAATTACGGCGACTCAGAAATGATTTTTTTTTATTTCAATTACCGAAAACATACGACATTGGGATGGGTTGAGATAGGCCGCGGGAGGTGAAGGGCCATTTACATTGCCATCTGCCTTACTTTAATTTTTTTTTGTTTTGGTCTCTATAAAAGGAATCTTTTCCAGTCACCAAGAACAACCAGGTCAGCCAAAAACGAATGGCAAATTTGAAATATTACACACACACACACGCACACACACACACACATATACACGCACATGCACACACACACACACACATATATATATATATATATATATATCATTTATACATACTTAATACATATATAAATAATACATACATATTCATACATATATATATATATATGTGTGTGTGTGTGTACGTGTGTACGTAATATATATATATATATTTTATATATACTAAAATTATGCAGATACACGCATAAGCACACACACACATATAATATATATACAGTGTAACCCGGATATAAGAGACCCGGATATAAGAGAAACCCGGATATAAAAGAGATTTTCTCTGGTCCCAAATTAGAGCCTGTGTTAATGTATATAAAATAGACCAAACCGGATATAAGAGAAACCCGGATATAAGAGACTTCTTCTCCGGTCCCGACAACTCTCTTATATCCGGGTTATATATATATATATATATATATATATATATATTCAGTTGTATGGATATTAGTTTGTGACACTGTGTTTCACGCTGTTACGACTATCAGACAAAGTGTTGTTTTTTTTTTTAATGGCCCTATTTATGCTTATTTGTGCTTGATTATTTGTGTGTGGTGGTGGGGGGGATTTTCTTCTGTGTTTGTTTGCGATGACAATCTCACATACATAGACCCACGTACATCCAGGGGCATGGATCTCAGCTGATGATCACAAAAGCTTGAAACCCCGGGTCACAAACTAATAATATCTATACAACTGAATATGTTAGCTCTATCACTGATATCGCGCATATAAAATATATATAAAATGCACACACACACAGATAGATAGATAGATAGATAGATAGATAGATAGATTAAACTGGATGTCGAAGTAAACAGTTCGTGATTAAATGTACTAAATATATATATATATATATATATATATTAAGATAATAAAGTAATGATAGAAAGAAAAGGATAAAATTATGATCAAATATATGAGAACATTTTATTATTATCATTATCATTGTAAAAAATATTTGAAAAAACAAATAATAGAACAAATTGACTAGTAGTAAATGAAGCAAATAACGTTGTGACTGGAAACGTTTTCCCAACAAATTTGAAAATACGTTACGTTACAATTAATATATAAGAAAATGATAAAAGAAGAGAATAATAGTTGTTTAAAAAAATGTTTGAATTATAAATGATAGGTAAAGAAATCGACGATACTGAACCAATAGTCAGAAATAAGCAAAATAAACATTACAGCTCGAAATGTTTTCCCTACAATTTCAAAAATTATATACACTATTTAACAAAAACACTGCATTAAATGTTTTTAATATAACAGTTGAGGACCATAGCATTAGATACCTGAAATTCTTTCGACAAGGTGTGGTACAAAGGCTTACTACACAAGATCTCTAGTTATGGAATCGCTGGAAGAGTCTTCTCGATCAGAAAATCATTCCTAACATGTTGGTCCTTGAAGGTAATTATCAATAGCTATTCAACGCAAGCTCTTAACAACAAACACATTTCGATGACTATAGCATTAGACACCTTGAAGGCCTTTGACAAGGTTTAAGCGCAAAGGTTTGCTACACAGCTATGGAATCGCTGGAAGGGTCTTCTCGATCATAAAATCCTTCCCAACAGGTTGGTCCCTGGAGGTAGATATTAAAGCCCAGTCCTCAGGACCAACCCTCTTTATGATCTACATAAATGATCTTCCTAAGGATATATTCAGATTGACTGTAAACATCTATGCCAATGATACGACTATATAGAGGCGGACCTCTAAAACTTTCGCTGGTCAGAGATTAGTGACTGATCTCCCTTCTGATCTTGCACAAACTAACCAATTAGTTAAAAACTGTCTGCTTACATTCAATCATGACCCTGAACTAACACCAATCAGGACGAATTGAAGTCATCTCGGGGAAGCACCGTGACTTGAAAGACTGTTCGGCCTCAAACTCACACCCGACCAAAAGCGAAACTCGTACATACGAACTGTTGCTAAGGATGCTAGTAAAATGGTCGGATCTCTGTACCCCTCCAGAAAGTACCTGGCTTCTCCTCCTCCTATCCTCTACCTTTAAAAGAGCCAGATCAGGCCCAAAATGGAGTTGTTGTCATATTTGGGTGGGAGCTGCCCAGACCTCACTCAGACCTTAATAAAGTTCAAAAGTGTCCTCGAGCTTTTATGGGTGACGAAGTATTCTCCACCCTTCAACCTCTCACCCACAGGCGGGATGTGACAAGACTGTAGCTATTCTACCGCTACATTCCCTGGTCCTGCCAAGGCAAACCTTCATGGCTCGCCATGACACTTACATAGTAGTAAATCACCCACGTTCTCTCCGTATTCCATGGGTGAGAAATAAGTTCCATACGAGCAGCTTCTCGTCGCGAACTACTGCCCTGTGGAACCGACTCCCAACTGGATGTTTTCCCGATCAATACAATCTTAACCTGTTCATGGCCAGTGTTAAGCGTTATCTTCCATTCCTATACATACAAATGGCCTCCTAAAGTAAAGATTTTCCAAGCGAAGCTTAGATGTGGCACAAGGCCGAAAGCTTGGGATATCCAGTGAAGATCGAACTCACTTTTCAGTAGTAACTGACCTAGCATGACAAGTTTGCTAACCATTACACCACGCCGAGGTGCCCAAAGATTTTCCAAACGTAGCTTAGATGTGGCACAAGGCTGAAAGTAGAGGGCACCCAGTGAGAATCGAACTCACAACTCAGTGGTAATTGTTCTAGCGAGACAAGCTTGTCTAACATTTACACCGTCTCGAGGTGCCCAATAGTAAAAGTAACCCTCTCCCTCGAGTGGCCCCTGGGCCTTTTAAAGGGTGAAACTTACTGTAAAAAAATTTTAGTAAGATATTCTTAACAAATTAATCTTACTAAATAACACTTATTTAAAAATAAAACAATAATCAAATTATTCTGTTGAAATCATCTGTTTATTCTCCACGATGAGCATCAGAGTGTTTTCATCTCCATCAGAGGGTCACTCGGGGCGTGGTTGATCGTTTAGGCCAGGAGTCAGCAACCATTTGCTTACTATGTGCCGACTTATAGTTTTAAAATAATTCAGTGTGCCAACAGCATACCTATTTTTATACAAGTCAAGGTCAATATACCTGTTCAACAATATATTTCATATACTAATATATAGTATATATACTTTAGTATGTATGAAAATTGAAACAGAATTTTCTTTGCGTTGTAGTAGTTATTGGTTCATTAGCAGTGCGCATCCACTAGAATCTAATTCGGACCGTTACCATATGACTTAGGCGCCGTACCCACTCGAGCAACGGATCTCGGTGACGAAGAGGTAACAAACTAGACTCGATATAGCGCCAGCTCTTCAAAAATTACGTCATGTGACTCATCCAAATCTATTTATACAAATGGACTGCGCCCCCATGAGTCACGTTTTCTATCCCAATCCGCTACATCCAGAGCATTAGAAGCAGGTACAAGCAGTATATATATATATATATATATATATATATATATATATATATTATTATTATATATTATTATTATTGTTATTATTATTAATATTATTATTGGCGGGAATTGAATAATCATAATTAAGTAATTCACAATCCGTTAGTATAAGTTTTACTTGGATGAGTCACACAACGGAATTTGTGAAGAGCAGGCGCTATATCGAACCTAGTTTGTTACCTCTTCGTCACCGAGACCTGTTGGTCTAGAGGGTAGGGCGCTTATATCGTAACGGCCCGGGTTCCATTCTCGGTTGTGGTGGCAAACTGCTGATGAGCCCCAAAATAGGACGAAAAGGTCGTCCAGTGTTTCCACATTCTGATGATGATTCTTCTAGACTCGATGAATAACTTAATTATAATGAACAATTGTGAGAGGAAAAAGATCATTGAAGCCTTCAGGAATGGTACCAACATTTATGCTCTGGGTTCCAACTTCAAAGTTCATTCATTTTAAAAAGAGGGAACAATAGAGGAAACCTGGATCAGGGGGTCACAACAGCAAGAGGGATTATCAGTTAAACTTAGAGCTAAAGAGATCAATTAGAAAAGATACAACTCAATCCATGGCACGTGAGAGAGGAGTTTCACCGATAACAGTCCAAAGAGGAGTGAAAAAAGACTTGAAAATGTAATCATACGTGAAACCTGTGAGACACCTTGTTACTTCAAGACACAAAGTTAGAAGGTTTGAGAGGGCGAAGATCATCTTGAATAAGTAGGAAAGTGATCCTAAAATAATATATATATATATATTTGAACTTTATCTCAATACTTCATTGGCTTCCATTCCTTAGCTATGATTAATTACGATTATTCTGGTAAGCTTGGAGAGTAATTATATATTCTTATTGCTGAAAGTGGAGTTCTCTAGTAATATAAAAAACTTCGGAGAATTCCAGTTAGATATCATTAATCATTTCTAAGACACAGTGGTTTAAAGCATAATCTTATTGGACAATTTTGATGTTATATCCATAGTATATATATATATATATATATATATATATATATATATATATATTAATTAATTGAAAAAAATTTTCCTTTACACAGTTCTGTATGTTTCAAAAATGGAAGCTAAAAGCCCTGAATTTTATTTTATATTAAATTAAAGAACATTAGTTCCATTTCATCCTAATTTTGGATAACTTTTTAAAATTACTTACTCCAAAATTCGCTTGAGGATGAAATGGAACTAATGTCTTTAATTTAATTACAAAATTAAATTCGGGGCTTGTAGCTTCCATTTTTGAAACATGGTTAGAACTGTGTATGAAAAAACATATTTTAAATCAATTAATTTATAATATTAATGCTCTGTAAATTTACATTGAATACTATTTTGTAAAAATAAAATATCTATAAGAACACTGGATTATATATCTTACTGTTCTTTTTATTTTATATTTACACACACACACACACACACACACACACACACACATATATATATATATATATATATATATATATATATATATATATATATATATATATCTGTCAGTGACGAAGGGTGACTTAGTAATCAGGACATGTAGTCCATTATGTAGGTTAATCACCAAAGTAGAGAGGAAAAAGGACCCCCACGTAAAAAATTTGGTTTTTTAGTGATTTTTAAGAAAAAAAATACGTAATTTTGGCTTAATAGTGTTCACAATTCATCAAATTAACAATTTCTGTTTTAACAAAAAATGTTTCTTATCGCTTGACGACAGGTGTCAGAAAATAGCGTGGATTGATGACTGGAAAAGTGAAAATTGGTAATTCTGACGTAAACTAAATCAATATTGTTTTAAATTAAATTGGTTTAATTACCCAAATATACTTTTATAATACGGTTAAACCGTTCTTCTTTAAAATAACACCAACATTAATGGATGAAATTTGAATTTAAATACAGTAAATTTAATTTTAAAATGTGCTGTTGCAGTGAATTTTTTTTTAATACCCTTTAACAAAATTTAGCATGTTTAATGAAATAATATACAATATTTTCAAGTAATCCTTTACATAACTTTCAAAAAATAATTTTGAACATTTAAAATTAAATCTTAAGGCAGAGAAACGGATGAAAACTTGCCTTCTAATCACAAAAATAATTTTCGCCGGTTGCTAATTTTCGCTTAATAATGAACTGTTCAAAAATATTCTGGGTAATGAGCGCATGACTGAGTCCATGTCTAAAGTCATCAAACGTTCCTTATATACTCTTCAGAATGATACAAATATTTCGTCTAAAGCTGTCCGGCTATAAGCCCTTTGAATAGGCAAGTCTTTGATTTCAACCACATGCAATAAAAAACATCATTAATTTAGTAGAGAATATCTGCTAGATT